CTAAACGGCACGACCAACGCAGATATAACAGGAGAAATATAGTGGGGATAGAAACGTGAATGGAAGCAGGAAAAACGAGTCGCGAGGAGAGGAACAGACCTGGAATAGGTTGAGCACCCCGGTGGACTGAAACGCGGTGGAGGGGCGAGATAAAACCCCGAAACCGAGATGAACGAAACCAGAGCAACCAAATCAGAACAGGCAAAACACCTGAACAAAGAACACGAACGACAAACCCGTCGAATTAGGTTAAAAACGAAAAAATGAAGAGAAAAATTACAAGCGATATATGGAAATATTTCGCGGAAAAAATAAGAAAAGGTACACGCTCAAAAATCAAACAAACGGATAAAAAATTGAAATACAAGATAAAGGACGACACAGAGGAAAATCAAACGGAAAACAATGAATCTGGATACGACACTGCCAACACAGGATCGTTAAGTACACTATCAATCGGATCAATCTCCGATGGATCGTCGACCTGGTCAATCCATTCGGACGAACCGCACAACGAACATAACGAATAATAAACAAAACCGACCACACCGACATACGAACAATATAAAATAAAAACGATACAACAAGCCGAATACGGGACTGAGAAAGGAAATCACCAAAACAAGAATAAGGAATGTATTCATGAAAAGGAAATGGTATAAAACAAAACCGGAAATAAAAACGTAAAAACATGCAAAACTCCCGAGACAAATGTAGGTCGGAATAGGAATGAAAACTTAATAAAAGAATTAAAAACACACCGTGACAATAGGACATACCTGGAAAACAAGAGGTTAAATAGCCAAAGCAATGGCGTAACTACCACCCCAAAGGGAAGGAACGTAAAACGAAAATATAACAAATCACAGAAGGAAAACCCCATCACACTATCTCTGTATGAACAAAATACATAAACGAACAAACGGAAAAGACCAAAAGGAAAAACTAATAAAACAGGAAACAAAACAAGAAATAAAAAAGGAAAGATAAAATCGATACCTACGCCAATGGGCAATAAACCACGGTACAGAAACTGTAAGAAAATGAAAAGCTACAGCACACAGAAAGAATGACAAGGAAAGAAGGATTAGAAAAAGGTCAGTCAAATAAATAGAAAAAGAGACGAGAGGTGAGTAGAAATATACAAAATAAAAGACAATGTACATGCAACAAACGTGCAAGAAATATATATACTGAACACAAATTATTTACAGAATACCATGAAAATGACAAGAACATAACGAAAATCACGAAGGAATAAATCAAAAAGAACAGGTAAACAAAACACAGAATTAAAAACTAGAAAATTAAGCAGTAACATAACTTTAGAGATAAATAAAACACTAGAAATTGCCAATAATAAGGAGCTACGGTATTAAATCACAATCTCGACCTTGAACCATAGACAATACGACATATCTATAGAAATAACAAAAGAAATATACAAGGAACAATCTAACGAACCACGAAATCACAATGACTAACGATAAAATAAAAATATTGTAGGAACGCATACACATGAGAAAACTGGAAACGAGAAATCGCTGTAAAACAGGATAAACAAATGGAAAAGGAAAAACGAAGGATAAACAAGAAAATATATGGCCACAAAACGTGCAACGACAAAGAATTATAAAAAACGAAACCCCCACAAAAAGGCAATAGCCACGGCAAGAAACAGATGGAGAACAATAAAAAAGAGATAAATCACCTCTATAACCAGGCAAACAGCCGTATAGACATAAAACTGAAACGACCACGGTAAAAGCGTAAGCATGTCACCAGAAAATAAAATTAGACAAAATAGAAAATATTTACACTAACGTTTACAGAATTAAAACACAACCATGGACGACGAAAAATAGAAGTAAAACTAACAATAAAATAACTGAAACCATACACAAAAAACAACCACAGAGAACTGGCAGATTAAACAATAAACAAAAAGAACAGAATTACCGAAAAATACCCGAAACCAACAACAACAATAAACCAAAAAATAGAGAATCACAGAGAGACAGAAATGTAAAAACAAAAAGAAACGAAAAGTAAGTAGAAAATAAAACATTATACAAGATTAAATCAGATATATAAACAAACGAAAACGAACGAAACCCTTAAAAAAAAAAAACTACAGATATGACAGAGACAATTTGAAGAACCATAAAAAGGAAATAAATCACGGAAAAACCAGGCAAACAGATGCGAGAACATAGGACTGGCACGGCCAAGGCAAAGGCGCGGACAAACATTAAAGAGAATAAAATAACCAGATGTCAGAAACAATTGTTAATACCGACTACAAGCACATAATAAAACCTTAACCGAGGAACAAGAAACATAAACACAAAAATGTTGAGAAACAAATGCAAAAACTACCCAAGGAACCAACAAACCGAAACAACAAATGATTAAACAAAAACACTAGAGAAACAGATGGACCGAACAAACAGACGATCGGTAACTACAAAAGAAAACGGCATAAACAAACAAAGAGAGGAAACGAGAAGCAGACGAAAAGAACGTAGAAATAAATCAAACAGGAATAATGCAAAATGTGCAAAACCCCAAGCAGGAAAACCTTAAACACGAAATAAAACAAGCTGAAAATCATAAAACGAATAAATCACGTAAAGAACCAGGCAAACAGATGCTGGCACACAAGACCGGAATGGTCAAGGCAAAGGCGTAGACAAACTACCGAAAAGAAAAAAGGCAAACGATAGAAATTGTTGATAACGCCAAATACAGACACATGACATAACAATAACTACGAAACAACGAAGCAGGAACATGCAAATGATAAAACAAACAAATGAATAAAACAACAAATGAACTTACAAACGAATAAACCAAAATGTCGCCGAAAAACAGGACAAATAAATAAATGAAAAAGGAGGAAAATTAAGAAACAAACGAAAAGAAACGCAGACGCGAGTCGTAAAGGAACGAAACGAGTAACGCACAAAATCCTAGACAAAAAGCCACATACACGAGACAAAACAGACGGAAAAGTCATAAAAAGGGTAAATCAAGTAAAGTACCAGGTAAGCAGATGCGAGAACGTAGAACCAAAATGACCGAAGCAAAGGCGTAGACACCGAACCAAGGAAACGAAACAGATTTAAACCTAGAACAAAGATTCACGACATAATTGTTTATAGATTCACGGCAAAACTTTGGCCAACGACGAAAGAAACACGGACAAAAAGACGATTAAACGCATGTAAGGAAATAATCTGAATAATCAGCAAATGGAGCAAAAATTAACAAACAAAGAAACAGGCAAGCATTAAGGAAACATTAAAATTTTTTAAGAAATAAAGACCAGGAAATCACGAAAAACAAAAAACAAACCAGGAAGAAAAAGGAAGAGAAATAAAAAGAATATAGAAATAAACTAAGGAAATGGATAAACAACGAACAAAAATTACATATTGCACAGAAAAGGCAGGAACACGACGAGAGTCGTAAAATCTAAAAAAGATAAAGCCACGTAAAGGACCGCGCAAGCAGGCCTAGGAGACACGAGGTAGAAGCAGTTAAAGCAATGGCGCAGCCACCACTTAATAAAACAAAAAGAAAACAACAACAAAGAAACGGACACCAAATTAAAACTAAACAGAATATCATTGTAATACCATCGAATAGTCAAGGAAAAATTCCTCCTCCCCCTGAGACACAACCAGAACGCTGGTATACACTAAAAACGATTAAAAATTAAAATTATCAAGCGAAGACAATGACCGAAATCGACCAAAATCACGCGAGATTAGAACAGATAAATGGAACAAGAAAACAAAAAATATACAACAAGGAAATAACCAAAGAAATTATAGGATAAGGAAATAGAAATTATACACGGGAAAAACAGACGAGCTAAAAATAAGAAACTCATAAAAAGAAGGGAAAGGACACGAAAACGACAATGGGGCAGGCACGAAAATACAAGATCGGCATGGCCAAAACATAGGCGTAACCATCACCGTAAAGAACGAATTAACACAAACACGCAAAAACGAGGAATTAACAACGTTTGTTACAAAACGAGCGTTAAAAAATTAACAAAAAGTATAAGACACAAATCAACAAAACCCAAAACACGCGTAACATTGAATAAAACAGAACAGGGGCGCTCCCGACATTACCGATCGCCTAAAAAATAGAAACAAAAGACTGGAAAATAAACAATAAAAATACAACAAACATACAAAAACATTCAGGAATAGAACAGAAACGAAACATGAGACAACCACAATTGAAAATACGACAAAACACTGAGAGAAATGAAAAACGAATAAATAAAAGGACAAAGGCGTCATAAGTGAGTTTAAACATTACAAAACAATCAAACGCATAAAAGAAACGAAAACAACAAAAGGAACATAACAATGAACAGTACACACGTAAAATGACAATGACAAACGAATAAAAACAAATAAGAAAACTATACGATAAGGAAATAGAAATTCTGCACGAGGAAAACAGACGCGCTAAAAATAGGAAACCCGTAAAAAAGGGGGGAAAGGATACGGAAACGACAACGAGGCAGGCACGAAAACGCAGGATCGGCACGGCCAAGACATAGGCGTAGCCATCACCGCAAAAAACGAATCAACGTTAACACACAGAAACGAAAAATAACGCACTCGTTGCAAAACGAAAGTCAAAACGAGCGATAAAAATTAATAAAAGTATAAGACATAAAACAGAAAACCCAAAACACACACAACAATGAATGAAAAACAAAACAAGGACGCTTCCGACAGTACCGACCTTCCGTTAAAAATTAAGAACATACACTGAAATTAAACAATATAAAATATGACAAATACACAAAAGCATGCAGGAATCAAACAGAAACGAAACATGAAACAACCACAATTGAAAATACAATAAAAACACTGAGAATAATGAAACATGAATAAATTAAAAAGTACAAAGACGTTACACGCAAGTTAAACTAATATAAAAAGCAACCAAACATAAAAAAGGAAACAGAGATAATAAAAGGAACATAGCAAACAACAACATACGTTTACAACAATAAAAGACAAATAAATAAATACAATATTACGAACGAACAACAATATTAAACCCTACAAGAGGAAAATGTGGAAATAGAAATAAAGAAGGGGTAGAACGCACAAGCGAGTAAGAGACGGGAAGAGGTTAAAAAGAAAGGAGAAACGAAACGAACCAATGGCAACAAGGCCTGAACCGAACACGAACGAGGAGCGGGAGAAAAGTGAAAGGAGTCGAGACTAGCGAGACTATAAATAGAACGTGAGGAGAGGGCGAAAGCACATTCGAGTGACCGACCCCCCATCTCCAGCGTATAGTTTGTGAACGAACCGTGAATCTTACACCAGTGACAAGATGAACCGACTGAACATAGGACGAGAACCTGCACCCGCACACCAGGTAGCGATTGTACCGGGCAATTTTCCAAACAGAATACTCACGATAGCAGAAACCGAAGAGTTTGGTGACGCCTTGAATCGGTGCGTGGTCAAATACATGGAAGCGAGGAAAAAGAAATCGCTGAAATATATTCAGCCGGGATTCCTATCATTTTTCCGCAAGAACGGAGGAATATTGTTAACATGTGACACGGAAACGACCGTTAAGTGGATAAAGGTGGCAATCAAGTACGTGAAATTGGAAAGTGGATGTGATCTGATAACCGAAGATAAAACCGCGCTCGACAATCGCTTCCTGGTGGAAGGCAGGGGCACGCACTCGCGGTTCACGGGTGCGAATATACTACACGAAATACAAAAGTACAATAACGATATCGACGTCTCTAGATGGAAAGTGGTGCGAGAAAAATTCA